TCCTTGTTTTTTGTGTGTTATTTAAAATATTTGGAAACTAATAAACATTTCCAAATAACCAAGAAATTGTCTTTTTACACAATCCTGCCATCTTTTGTTCGCCATGGAAACCTAGATGAGTGCAATAAAAATAGTTTGATGTATAAAATGTAATATTGCAATTTGCAAATAATATGTAATATAAATATACAAAGTGATACATCAAAATTTAGGAAATTTTACGCTTTCTTAAAAAAACTCCAAAATATATAGGGTGATCCATATGAAAAATATAGTTTAGGGTCGTATGAGTAAAAACAAACCTCCATAAAAAAGAAAAAAGATAGATTTTGCCAAAATCAATTATCTTTAATAATAAGAAAGTTATGGGGAAATTGGGGAAATTAACTAAATTCGAGAAACGCTCCCTAGTGGTTAGTGATTAGAGATGACTGAATTCTGTTTGCGCCAGTGATTTTCTCTTTAAAATTGGGCTCTAGACGCCTAGGTCAATTTTTTTCTCTTAAAATAAAGGGCGTTTCCATAAGAAAGTGGCCAACTTAGACCACCCTGTACAAAGAGAAACAAAAAAAGTAAATTAGTAAAGAAAATTCAAAAAAACTTAGAATGCAAATGTACTTTCCAGTCCAAATCCTAACTCAGTTCTAATTATTATTGGAATGGCCTTTGGCTTGTCGATAGGCCGTCCAAAATTAGCTGGGCCTGCTTCATTAAGAGAATATTGATCTATAATTACTAGGAAGTTCATGTGTTTGATCGATACCAAGGCCTCTCCCTATAAAATCTGGGACTAGAAAGAAAAGAGCATGACGATGATGTGGACAACCTCCCTTCGACTCCGGAATTATGGCAGAGTATCTTCCAATACTAAGAACTGCAGCTGTAGGAGGGAATGTGTGCCATTCATACAGTTGTATAATCCATGTAATCCATCTGCTTGAACTGGGTGTGAAAGTTTCTATTATTTTCCAACCTAATTTGCAATAAAGTTTAGCCCAAAAGTAATTTTTGAACCTATTTACGGTTAACTCTCCGATAGCCCAAAGCCGAATCTCACCGGAATAATCCCTACTTAATTTCTAATCAACGTCTACAAAATAGCTTCTTATGAAAACGGTCATGTTTAATCATTGATTCGTTTGCTTACTCTACGGTTTGAGTCCTCCAAATTAATTAATGCATAAATTTCTTATGGGCAATATTCTGGACCCAGACTTCCTTAAGCTATTAAAAGTTCAATACAATGAAATTCAACGAGGCAGAAAAACGGTCGCTAAACTTTAATAGAAAATTTCGAACATTCCTACAAATCAAACCAAATTTTGAAATTACCAAGCCTGTACTTCGACTGCAGTTAAATCAGATGAATTCAGAAAGACAATGCTAAGAAATTTTAGAGTAGAATAGAAAGTAGATTGTCAAGATGAACGGAAAAGTGAGAGACCCCTCTCCTTTCTTACTAATTATTCCTCTAATTCTTTCGTGCAGTTTTTCTATTTCTTCTTCGTCCTGATCACTTGGCATGTGTACTTGGATTGCTAGTATTGTCCTTGTTATCGCATTTATTTTCATTGCCAGGATTTTATCACACTCGTTTATTACTTTGGTAACGCTAGACTGTACCTTCTTATTAACTATAAATCTTACTCCATTTCTTCCTTTTGTATCTCCACTATAATAGAAGGTGAAATGTTCTCCTTTTTCTACTCCACATCCACCCCATCGCGCTTCTCTGAAACCATCTTTGAACGCACATCCCTATGCATAGGTAATTGAAATTTTAAAAAAATTCTTAACAATAATCACCAATGAAACCAAACAAAGAAAATAAATAACATAAAATCTGAAGAATTACAAAAAAATGGACTAATACCTAAAAGAAACATCCAGACACCAGAATTGAAAGAATCAAACAACAAAGATCCGCAACATTTGCTTTCCAATAATAAAGTATAAAATATTAGCAATAGAGAAAGCTTGATATTTCTTGCATTAATCACCTGAAAAAATCGTTTTCATTTATAAATGTTATAGGATTTGCATATCTTGTTTAGAGCTCAATTTCATCTCCGTTAATTAGCAGGTGTAAGGGCGAGTAAAGGCACACCTTTGCCATACTAATGTTATCCTGAAAGCAACTACACTCATCACCTATTCATCGAAAGCAGAGATCAAAAGATGTCAATCCGGTTTATGCAGAAAATAGTTACCTACCTCTCAAAAGTGATCAACAAGGAAACAGCTTGACGATTTTATCATTCTAATCTCAAAATTTGCGATATGCGAATATGAAATTTACCTGCTGGTTACAAAATAAATATTTTTTTGCAATGAGTCCCGACTTAGGTCCATGTGTGGGTTCAGAAAAACTAATTAAATGGTAATCACGCATTGTACCAATAGATCGTCAGACAAAGGCAGGAGAATATTTTAATGCGTAATGCTAATGCATATGGATGGCGCGTTACACACATTTGCATTTTTTTACGTAATTAGATTTTAACCGCCCTAAAGTTGAAATATGATATGATGGATGTAATAAAAATTTAATCGCATTAATAGAGAAATGGTTATGCAATTTCATTATCATCCTTTTCTTCTATGATTCGTTTCAAGTATCCGTCGAGCTAAATTGAAAAAAAAAGGATGTGCCCCATTTACATATTTTCTAAACCTTTTAACGCAAATCGCCAAAGAATACGCTCCAGTCTGCTTTTTTCGATAAGCAATCGCAACGTAACTTCGCTATACAGTGCCCAGTGCCTATCAATTTTTATTGTTCGACTTTCTTAAACAAGATGAGTTTTTTTTCCGACGTTAAAACATGAGAATCTCGTAAGGTAGCGAAGATGTACGGTTTGCAACTTTTGCCAACTTCTGATAACATTTTATGGACACAATCATCTCCAGACAAATAAATTTAACAAGTCAAAGATTCCCTTAAGGCACACAATGCAACAACAACAAAAAACTCAAACATTTTGACAGTCATTACAACTCCCCATGACATTTCTTAGATATCTTTGGCGCAAACGGTGGGGATAATAAAAGTATGAGGCGGAATAATGCAATTATTACATACCAGAGTTACTATAGTATTTTCTCTAATGCTTTATCGGATTTTGGAGAAAGAGATATTGCATATTGTTGTGTAAACAACGTCATGTAGACGTTATTTTGATCTGATCACCAAAAATAACACCCTGTATATGAGAATATTTCAGTTTTTAAGTGTAAATCTGGGAGATTATTTACGAATAAGCACAAAGTTGGTTTATTGTACTTGAATTTATTATCTCAGTATCTATTTTTCCTTTTCGAAGTGTTTAAATTGGTTTTTTGGTCTAAATTTAATCGCTTTTGTGATTTATTCAATTTAACTAAGGCAGTAGAAGTAAAACATCAGGTTGTTTTACAGTAAGGAGTTTTATCAGACGAAATTTAATTAACGCACGTGTGTAGAAGTTAAGCAATCTTAGCATAAGATTTAAGTTATCGTCAAATGAAGTAGTAAAAGCTTGTGGCAAGTTTTTAAAATAGTTTGTTCGTTTTCAGAAAAAATTAGTGCATACATACATTCGCCTTCACACACTTATCCGTATTTAGCTTATGCATTCTTATTAATTAAAAAACTTATGTACATTCCTCCGTACACACGGAAGTCTGGTTACATACACTCGTTTTTCCCGAGTAATTGATAAAGTGTTAGGTGACAATTGACGGGGTAGCAAATAGCTGGTTCCTGCTGAAGGCAGTAGTTAGGATTCGTGGAAGGAATGAAGTTTACTTGAAGTAATTAGAAAAAAGGGGATTGTAAGTTCTTTTAGCAAGATCCACAAAAAAGAGGAGATTAAGATTAAAAATTCCGTTCAGCGAGAATTGATGACTTTCTTTTAATTGTTTGTGAATGGCTGTCATATACAAAAGGTGTAGTCTATCGAAAGAGAATGAGCGGAACTTAGGATGTGGTTGATTTTTGGCCAAGATTATTTAGGGATGATATATGTTCGTTTGCGTCCAGTTTGACTTACTAATAGCCCACATAACAGAACTATACAGGGTGTTATACATAGTATGTAAAAAAATTTGGGTGGTAGAGGAGAATAAAACAAGCACTTTTTCCAAATAAACGAGGGTCCAACGTGCTTCGTTTGGGAGCTAACCCTACAAAAAGGTGAAATTTGCATTTCGTAAGTTTTTTCCTAATTAACCATAAGAGTAGAAAGACGGGTGTGACGGCTTTGAGTAGGTTTTCGGGTTTTCGTGATTTTCATGTTCAAAAACCCCCAAATTTCATCGAAATCAGAATTTTTTCGGGTATATCTTCGAAATTAATCGAAATTTTCTGATTTTCCCATCTTCGTATCTTTGATGGTTTCCCAGATGCCCATGATCGACATCCTTATCTTGGATACAATGTATAATAATATATAAATAAATTTACAGAGGTGAATTAGGTTAAGAAATAAACAAAAATCCTTCCCTTTATTATATCGCACGTAATCGCAGGTCTATTGTTTAATATGATCGATAACTACGTATAGATAAATTCGTTAACAGTGGGTACAATCGTGGTTTGTTTAATAAGTATCTTGTATGCAAATGCTTGAATAGCGCTCATCAGGAAGATATATTATATTTATTACCATCTCTACTGGGGGTAATAATTCTCCCTTTTAAATTCTACACAGTATGGAACATATACCTACACTAAAAATTGTTAGGTAGGTACCTATATTCGGCAACCAAATAAAGATGAAAACGCTTTTACCGTTTCCAGTTTTATTCTCAATTTTTGAGTCTTAATAGTTTGGATTTTGCAAAAAAAAACAAAGATGTAAACACAATTAGTTAAACTTAATCTCTTCGAACTTGCAGAACTTCCCCTAAAAGTACTTATTCGTGAACAGAATATATAAACATATAAGTAATGCAAGTTTTGAACGTGATTATAAAACTTTTCCTAAAGTTTTAGGCTTATTTTGTATATTTTGTTACAGATGAGGCGTTAACCTGCAATGTTTGCGACAGGTCATTCGCCTGTCCCAAGCAGTTGTCTTCACATAAGCAAAAGAAAAGACACTTTGGGTGAGTATAATGAAATTCCATCGCATTAAAGAATTATACATATTTCGCGTTCCGGCGACGAGGGCCGTATTAAACATGCAGCAATTTCCACCGCACTATATTCCTTTCCTACTATTTTGCTTATAAATTACGAAATTTGGCATATTATTAAACACGGTAATGAACGTAATAAACTTATCAAAGTTAACAGAGTAGATTGCAACGTTGCAGCGTTAAATTTATAATGAATTTTCATTTAAAATAGATTACCTACACACTTTGCGCTTTTGCATTTTACATTATAGGTACCTCGAACTTACCATATTCAAGTGCTTCTAGATAATCCGCCTAAAATCCTGCACCGTTTATTTCAAAGAGAATTAAAGCTTCTCTGCACAACAACCTTCAAAAAAAAAGGTCAATGCAAAGGAAACAAAAGTTATCGCACAAAATATAATTAACTTTGTCCGTTATGAATTACGAAGTATAATAAAAGTCAACAAGATAAATATAAGGGAGAGATTGGAGAAACGAATTTCATTGTGTACACTCACAATCAGATTAATACAAAGGATACACGTAGGTATATATGAAGAATGCTCGATGGAAGCGAATTTCAAAGTTGGGAAAATTGGAGGGCGCATCTGTATTTATATGAGGATTATTCAAAGCAATATAAATGTTCACTGCTAAACCGAAAACCAGAACCTGAAAATTCCCAAGACTGCAAAAGCACAAAATTTAGTGCGGGTTCATCAACGGAAATTTCAATAAAATGTGTACATTTTCGATTCTTTCTCACTTTCCGGCGCCGATGTTTGCTTTCATACAAGAACGGTCGGTGAAACGAACGGACGGACCTCGGGACGGACAAACGCCTGATATTTTATTTTTTTAAGCTCTAAAACCAAGGGCTTCTTGACTATTTTCAGAGGACCAGAGTTGGAATCTTGCATTGTAAATTTCCACATTACGCGTCTGGCCGTACGCTGCTATCGTATGTTGATTTTCACAGGGAGCTCAATCAAGCAAATCGTAAATGAGCTCAGTATCGTTTAGAAAGGATTACGAATTGCGAATTGTAACCAAAAAAGCCGATACAAAAGTTGTTGTTAACCAAGATATAGCAAGAGATTATCAATTGCCATCCCTTAGGCAAGCCTTAGACCCACCAATTATTTAAGCAATTTTAAGGGCATTTAAGACAACTTTCACATAACATTATAGATATAATTTTTAAAGAAAACTTTACATGCGTCTGGTAATTTGCTCCAGAATTTTCACAATCCCTAAACAGTAAGGCTCTGAAAATACCATCTATTTCTTTACTGAAATATAATATTTGTAGTCTGTTAGGGGAGCCATTTTAGCTCAACACCCACAGAATTTTTGAGATACTTTTTTTGGGATTTAATCAATTATAAGACCATTACGGCACTATTCGCAAAACCTTATGGTTAGGTATAATTTTTTATGAAAACTCTGAATTCATTCCCTATTTCCTTCAGAATTTACGTGTAGGTAACCCTACTAAATCTTTAAAATATCATCTATTTCTTTTGTATAGAAGACAACAAAAGTAAAAGGAACTGTGTAATAATAACAATCCGGTTACGAATTTCAAAATTCTAGAAACGTCATATTTTTTCCAAAAACATCAACGTGCATCGTTCCAGCTGGATTTGGAACGTCACATGGGCGATCAACTTTAGCCTAACTTGTTTTGTTCACCGATCTTCCTACTTTCGTCCTGGTAAAAATCGAACCACAGCCTTTTTACCGAAGACGTGTTTCTTTCTCTCTCCATGACACCGAAGATGCCGTTCACCAGCCATTTTCTACACTTCAAATCTTTAAATTAATATCTGAAAAAACCGGAAAACATTAATCTGAATCATCAGTTACAAAAATATGATCTTCATCTGAATCATTTTCCAAATTAATTATTAGTGGGAAATTAACTTTAACGCTCTAAGTCTAGATATTTTTCTGACTGTTAACTATGTTTTCAGATGTTCGTCGTGCGATAGTCTGTTTCCATCACTAATGGCACTGGAGCATCACAAGGAAGAGTTTGAGCACTGGTCAGGAGACGAAGAAGAGGAATTGTATACAGATTCAGAAGAAGACGAGACTCTTGCCACAGAAGAACGTGAACGGCTACTATAAAGACTTGCAAATTGTAAAACCCACGTTTTCATAACGACTCTAGGGTAAAACATGGCGTAATTGTATAATTTATTTTAAATATAACATCTACCTAACTAGTTATAAAATTGTGTAGAATATTTTGTTTATCCAAAATTTAATAAAAGCTCCATATTTTTTATTAATATATTTACACTTGAACATATCGTAGAAATTTTCCAATTGTTGTGTTAGGCAAGCCTAATCGCACCAACTGTAAATATTTTGCAAATATAAATCAATAAATAAATTTGTAAAGATGAATTATTTTCAAGCCTTCTCTATTTCCACAGGCCTAAGTTTATAAAAGTTTTAGAAAGTTTTGGACTTGGACCTACCGAGTTTCTATTATGCCAAACGTGTTAATTCTCCAACAGTTTCTAACTTGTTATGTACGATTCCATTTGGAACACTATAACGTTTTGCCCATTTTTTCCACCGATATATTAGGACCACCATAAACGAAAGCTCAACACCATTCAGCATCCAATTTAAATAAAACATGAAGACCAGGCGCTTGCATCAAACTGTTTCAAATTGGTCAAGTGGTGAATGAGAGTTAGAACACGGTAGTCCCTTTGCCCATCATGTCCGTGCTCTGGATAAGGAGGATGGCAGATGCAATTATGCCGAAACTTGGCACCAATGTAAGTAATTGATAAAATTGTTTGACCTACAGATCCGGTCATAGTACGTATAAAGATAGCAGCAAACGGAGTAATAATAACAGTAGGAATAACTGTTTATAACGTGCAAAATGTGTATCCGTTGGATTGCCCTTATAGTTCTATTAGTAGCAAATGTACAGGTGAGTGAGTGAAGCTTTCAGATAGGTAAAATCCTGACCTTAAATTTAGATCATCTCACCATTGCCCTCATCGTCAGGAAGGGAAGTAGCAATTAGAAAGACTGCCACCTCCATTTGGGATATACTACAGCCGCATTTTGCAAACTTCATAAATACGGTGTTTGCAGACGAACACATTTTCAAAAACTTTGATCAGTATTTGAAAGGCGTGTTTGATATTCCCGAGACAGTAAGTCGCACGCCTACACAAATAGTAGAAAATAGAACATTGTTTTAGACAAGCAACCAAATTGAGTCAGCATCAAATGAAACGGTCGTTTTTGAAAAACGTCCAGGCTCAAGATGGGGTAGTCAATTAAATTTCGCTTCAAACGGTCTTACTGGTTTTCTTGAGGGGGCTTCGAAGCAATTGGTACAGGCGGTTATACAAAATAAAGGTGGGTAATAGGCACACACAAATTAATTTACTTTCTCATCACTTTCAGATACATCGATTATGATACCCTCAAGTCAAATTGGCCTAGCAAATATCATTACCAGCTTTAAGTCATTTATTGATTACGAGTCCACTGATCATGATGAGGAACCCAAAAAAAAGAAGAAAAAGAAGAAGAAGAAGAAGAACAAGACCCAAGAAGTCATCGCCCCGAATTAATGAAAATTGAGTTAACACGAGCTTGATTTATTGACTTCTAATTTTTGTCAAATATTTATAATTCGTCTTTAGGTATATCCAGGAATATACTTGCTTAATTTGTTATTGAAAAAATAAACGTTATTTTTTATGACGGCATAAGAAAAATTGTGGCAAGTTATGTTCGTGTACATAAAATAATACTACTGTAACGTAAATTTAACTACGTGCTTTATTTATATGAATTATAATAATATTACATTTATAACAGTCTTGAAACGAATCAATTTATAACAGTCAAAATATTATTTATCACTCACACATACACAATTTATAACAGCACGAACTATTTTTTACTTCGACGTTGTAATTGCAACTGCACTGAAATGCAATTCGATTTGCTTATATTGTAAAGTCGAGTGCTCTCGAGTGGTCCCAAATCTTCTCGAATGCTCTAAAACAAAACACGTCATATTTCCCGGAAGGCTTGCGTCACATATAAATAAATAGAATTTTCATACGCGCGATCCCCCGACTTCTAAAAACTGTGCCCATCAATTCGATGGCGGCCGTGGATTTCCGGGATATGACCGTTTCGCCCACTTTCGTAGGGGCTTAATCGGGACAAGAAACAAAAATAACAATTAAAAATAAAATATGTAAGAATTATTAATGAGGCAAACGAGAGCAACTTTATGCACTTTGAACTGATGAATACCCTTGCGAAAGTGATGGGCAAAATGATTACTTTTCGTTCAATATTGAAAGGGCCCTATCCCGGTAGTCGCTCGCATGTAAATAATCGGAAACACCTGTTTGTCTCTAATTTTGGTACATATACTAGACAATAGGTAAATGCATTTCACAAATTAAAACTTGGCGCAGTTACTTTTGTTTTGTCGACTGTGGCCCTCTGTCTCATAAATCCTTAACCAGCACTAGACGGTCTACTGTTGATTAGTCGCCTCTTACGACATGCAGTGTCTCTGCAGTAGGAGTATTCTTTCCCGCTCCTACACGGGTAGGATGAAAGTAACACACTTAGACACGGAGGTGCACCCCCCCCCCCCTAATCATCACCTTGAGAGGGCGCAGCCTCCATAAAATGGCTGTTTACCGGTTACGGCAGCATAGTGCGACCTATTATTTTTACTGGATACATAAAAAATGAATTTCAACTCATACATTTGAGAGTTGAGAGCATAATAGAGAAGATTAACCAGACAGAAATATAAATAACACCATATTATACACACAAAGTAGTACCTACTCAATTTTTGGACCACTTCTCCAGAGCTGGGTCGAGCGTTCTAAAAAACCGCTCGAGCGACGAGCGCTCTAATTTTCTCAAAAATGCTCGCGAATATCCAGTTGTTTTGCAAAGCGAAACCGCTTGCGAGTTCCGAGCACTCCTAAAAGTGCTCGAGCGGTTTATCGCGAGCGCTCCGGAAAAGTGCTCGTGAGCGGAAAAAGCGCTCGGGAGTGGAAAACACCGCTCAGGAGCGGAAAAAACGCTAGCGAACGGCGCTTAATTCTTCAAGGCTTGAGGGCAGTTAACATCGCTCACGAGCGAAAAAATCGTTCAGGAGCGGAAAAGGCGCACAGGAGCGGAAAAAACCCTCATGAGCGGAAAAACCGTTCGTGGACAGAAAAAAGCGCTCGAGCGCCGAGCACTTTTTAAGTAAACGCTCGAGTATCGAGCACCAAGCGGCCGCTCCGAGAAGTGCTCGCAAGCGATTTTTCCGCTTGGAGCGCTTTTTCTAGCGGAACGCTCGCGAGCAGTATCCAGCTCTGCACTTCTCATAAATGAATAAATAAAAGCAGAAGAACTAGTGCGGCATATTTTTTAAAACGACTTTTATTATTGTTGATATTTGGATATAAGATAGGTATGTATATACTTACCACGTGTCCTAGGTTGAACGCACCATATATGTAATAGTTATTTACATAAGTCAGGAAAATATGACATATTACTGGCGAGGAAATATTGAAGTGCGAGACCCCTTGGGGTCGAGTACTTTAATTTCTGAGTCAAGTAATGTCATTTCACTGACGAGTTTTGTATTAAATTTTACCCGAAATCGTATTGTAATGTAACATTTCAATTTGTAAATAAAACTCTTGATTAATGTCAATCTGTCAGTGATGCAGACAGGAGTCATTATAGACATTAGAAATGTCACAAATGCGGCCGGTAAAGTGACAGGTGCGGCTAGTAAAGTGACAAGGGGCAGGAAACGTAGTCTGCTCTGCCTTTGTCATGGAAACTCAAATTTCCTGACACGAAGTAGTCATGAAAATGAGGGTTTCAGGACAATTTTGGGTAAATTTAATGTATTTTTTCGCGAAGAATTGTTGTCTTTTGCGTTATTTATTATTGTTCTCTTTCGGTTAATCGTTGCTTATGGTTGGAAACTTTTTGCATTTTTTAGTGTTCATCTTTCAGTTAATTGTTGTTTATTGTATTTGCATTGTTTATTGTTCACGTTATTATCCATTTCATTTAAATTTATCTCAGCTGGAATTTCAATAACTTTTTTTTGTTAAAATAGTTAAATAACGCTACATCTTTCAATTGTTTTCTTATTTTATTAATGCTTAATTCTGATGTTAGCCCAAGATATTTAAAATGTTTACTAGTTGTTAAATATAAGCGATCGCAAGTCCTCAGTTTTACTAAGTATGGTAAATTAAAAATAGCTTAACAGGGCGAATCCTTTTTGGTCTTGTGTAGGTATACAATGGTTCTGATAAGAGTTTAGAAAGAGGCTAGAAATCCTCAAAAGTACCATAAAGCCTCTTCATTGTGTTCCAGAGCATTACATCTGCTTTACCCAGCGAGATCTCTCCCATATCATATGACCTTACTAGAGTGTCACTTCCTATTTATTTTACAAATGCCCATGGCACGCTCTGTAATAAAAATTTTTTATAACGCAAGATGGCGTCACAATGACGCTCTGATTTCATTGAACTTTCATAAATACGAATGTAAAATGGCTTGAGAAAAATAAATCCCATTTTTCTTTACAGGTTCCTTGTTTTAAAATATTAGTTTGGATCATAATAGAATACAAAAAATGATCTCGTTGATCACCTATCAATATAATGGTAGAGATTTGATCAAAGACCTTCATTTTCTATGCATAAGATAATAAATTCCTGATACATGCTCTATTTAAAATATTATTCACACCACACTCCCAAGTTTTTACACATATGATACCATTGAATAAGTAATTATAGGTTACTTATTCAATGCTTGTACTAACAATCTTTGTATAATTGTGAGATACAGATCGTTTTGTGTACAGGCAACGGAACTATGGAACAATTTTCCGAGTGTGCAGTTGAAAAATTGGACCAAGACTCTTAATTGGGTCTGCTGAAATGATCAAAAATGATGTTTGAAATTTTTGATAGATAAGTCTATTAATTCTTGTTTTTATGTCGCTCCATAATTGTAGTTCTTGATCTAGAATCTCATATAAGCTTATAGAGGGGGAATTGTCTTATAGGGTTTTCCTTAACATAGAAAAGGATTTTAAAGGACAAAGAAAATATATGAGAACGTTGGTGATATGTATGCACACTTCTTATTTTAAATGGAACGTTTGTTGCACAAAGTACAGAAAATAAGTTTGCTTTTGAATTTAATTTTCTTCCCATTCTTTACCAGTAAAAATGGAAAATCCATTTTTCAAACTGGAGGCTTCATTGGAATTGAATTCATGTTGAACGTTCAACATTGACACGTCCTGTGCCGGAAGTCGCTCGTGCATATATAAATTTATCACAATAATACTAAACAGAAGAATCAGAACAGTTTCCATAGTAGATACGAAACGCTCATTTGTCGCTATGAAAGAAAAGATATTACGGGTTATAATGTTACAAGACATATTGATGTAAAACATTTTCATAATGAAATAAGTTTACAGAGTAACAACACAATTATAAAAAAAATGATTTAGAAAATCAAATGCAGTTCTATTACTTTATTCAATGCAAAAATTTATTTACTAGAGTTAATACATGGCAAAAAGGTGTAACAAATCATAAATAAAGCATCTAAACCTAAAGAAACTGAATTTCAAAAATGTGCCTATTTACATCAGTTGGTTTTCATTTCTTCCTTTTCATTTATACACTTCCTTCTTAAATGATATACAACCGTTGAAGAATTCTCGAGGTAACAAATAGTAACTAATTCTTACAAAACAATAAAAAAAAATAAATAGTAAAGGAACATAAATTAACAAATTTCTTAAAACCAACTAGTATTTTTTTGTTTTTTTAATAATAAAGTGTAAGCAATTTAAAACTATAGAAAGTGTGCGCTATATAAATAACATTGAAATATTACAGTTTAGAAAAGTACTTACTAAACCACACATTATTTATGAAATAAAACAGTATCCGCTTCTGTTTGAATAATGAGAAGATGCGCAATTTAAGCCACACACATCAAAAACAGTCTAAACCAACATGGTGGACTCATGGTTCACAGAACCCAACAGTCACTTTGTTTCGGCCAGGAGCAGGGCAGCCGTCCGCCCTCTATTTATTATACTATGCTGAAGAAAGGATATGAAACACAACATCAACAAGATGAGGGGGGGGGGGGGGGAGAACTTATTTTATGAAGTTCCTGCTTACATTTGAAGCACACACTGGTAATTAGTAATACAACCTTCATAATACTTTGGCACAGTACGTAGCAACTTTAAGCAGTTGTACCATTTACGAGTGTTTCCTTAGGTTTAGGATCGTTACGACGAGACGCCGGCGGTGGTTTGTTCGGCCGTGTTTTAGGTTGCTGTTGTTTTGATTCTGTGCCCGGCATTGGAGGTATGTTTGTTTGCTGATCTCCTGAACCTCCCGCAGGATGACCATTGTTAACTGCAACACAAAATGCTTTAATTCGAGTACGTTTAGGTCATGTTACATAGACAATCCAGTCTGTTAATAGCCACATTAGTAGTCTTGCGGAGTATCAAAGCAAGTTACAAATGTGCAGGTGAAGTCTGTAGTATTAGAGACATGTTACAAATAAAGAAAGACGACTTTCCACAGAATTTATGCATATGTCAATTAAATGTACTTTTCAGTTTGAGACAATTATGAAGTACAATAGACCGCATATCCTTATATGGCAGATTGCCTGTAAGCAACTTGCGAGATTTATACATTAATAAGGATTTTGTGACAGGCCCTCTTTGATTTGGTGGTAGAAGGATGATATGTTCCTATTTGTCTTGATTTTTAAATTTTGTATGATCAAAAATGTACTAAAAGTACAATAAGTATTGGATTAGTCATCTCATGTCATCTGCAATGTACTTACCTTAACCTAACTTACATCGGCTAAGGGGTTACTCACTTACAAAACAATGCAGAAGAAAAAAACATTTGGTTCTACGTACAGTGACTTTATAGAGACAGTAGCGACAATAGTGTTTAATTTTTGATTGGTCGTTGAGATCGGCCGCCATTTTGCGTCAAATTTCACGTGTTTCCGGTAATAGATATGCTCACGCGCATTCCCGCGCTTCTATATACGTCACTGGTTGACAAATTTGAAGTACAGGTGCCATGATATTCCTGCAAGAAATAGTATCATGACAGGTGACAGCCTGACATTAGCGACTTCTGCAGTCAAATGCCAGAGGCAGACGATGAAAAATTTGTGTTTCGATGGCCGTGAATTCAGTACCTAATTGTATTTCCGCGTGCAATTAGCATTGGAGGACAAACGCATCGAAAAATAGCTGAAAACGAATGTGGCGGAACCTAATATGTGTGACAATGTGGCAGTAATTGAGGATATTGTTGTGAAACGCGATACCATATTCGAGTCGCAGTGAGAGATTATGTTGACGAGGCAGAGTAAGACGTTCAATTGAAAGGATGGTTTTCAGAAAGCAGTTGATGGAATCTGGACCATCCACTCAGGCGGAGCTGTGGAAGTTGAAAGATATGATGCTGAACCCACTAATGTGTGACCTGTGGGATGATCAAAAAGTGTTTTCAATTAGACTTACTCAATGGTAGCGAAAATCATAATTATACGTATTTTACTAGACCACGTGTATTGTGTGTTGCCAACTTTTTGACGCAAAATGGCGGCCGAACACCTATTGTCGCCACTGTCACTATAAAGTCACTGTAGTTCTACCCAACATGTAAGACCAAACTTTTTATGTACGAAAGCACAGATCTACACATACACAGATTGCTAACCTTATGCATTTTTTGGGAAACAAATTTAGGTATACTTAAAAGCGCCCTCTACTGCGGAGCAGTATAAACATGTATCGTTTAAAACTGTAATATGACGCTTATGGATTTATGCGTTAGATGTCGCTGAAACAACATTAAAGTTTGCACAATTCGAATTCCTTAATATTCGTATTATTACAGTGGTATGATATGATAGGAGGTACGTTGAGCCATAATGGTTTAATTTAACACTGGAGCTACTCATTCGTCGTAAGGGAGATATTAAAAGCGGGTCCCTGTGGTCACAGATACACACGAACATAGGGCAGGTTCTTAAAGAATCGTGAAGGTTTTTTGAAGTTGCCGGAAACTATTTGCGGCTTTAAAGGTCTTGACAGATTGCTAACCGCAAAGGCATACTTACAAACTATGTATATCTCTGCCATCATTAACGTTACACTCTTTACCACGTCGATAAGATATAAGATAGGGAGGTTATTTTCGAAAAGTTGATAGTTTTCCAGTTGTAAGCACAAAACTGCTAAAAAAATATCCTTTTCAACTTTTTTGTATTTTTTTCAATGTTGCGTCATGAAATTTTGTTAGCAAACCTCGGATTCGGATTCGGCACCCCAAAAAACATATAGAATAAAAGAAATCAAAACTACCCCACAACTTTCCTGGTAAAAATACAATTAAACTGGATTATATGCACATTTTACCGCTTTAAATTTTTTGCAGCGACATCTAATGCATAAATCCATAAGCGTCATATTACAGTTTTAAACGGTACATGTTTCTACTGCTCCGCAATAGAGGGCGCTTTTAAGTATACCTAAATTTGTTTCCCAAAAAATGCATAAGGTTAGCAATCTGTGTATGTGTAGATCTGTGACGAAAGGGTTTTTAATTGTGCTAAGTCATTGAACTGGGAACACTTTTTAACTGACTTTACTACATATTGTTTTTGTGATAGGTTGAAAAATGGAAGTGATAGACGTCTAGCAATGTTCTCTTAAAATACCATACCGTCTTAATTAGTTTTTCAACCCACGCATACAGTGCATGTGAGAAAGATGCATTTTTCACTTCAGTAGCAAAAGAATAATTTATGGAAAATAAGACCAACCACAAGATCAATTGACATTGTGCAACAAAATAGAGACGTCCATCTTCAAACAAAAGACATGACATAATCCAAGTGTGTCAAAAATTTCATGTAGACCATGGATATTGGTAAGGGCAAAATCATTCTTCTCAGAAGTCACAGCAAGAATACGGAAAATAACAAGTGGATTCAAATTTGTAGTAGTCAATCTTCTGTTTACCGAGTGAAATACATTTTTTAACAATTTTAATATGTAAAAAAAACACTACCCTTTATTAAAATTATTAATTAACATTTCTCTCAGTTTCTATCACATGGAGAGAGCGCATGCGCACTCTCTTACATTCAACGCCTACACCACAAGCAGTTGTTACGTTGCGTCCTTCTCTTTCACACAGAACAATACACGTTTCTCTCTCGCGCGCAGCTCGTAGTATACGCATCGAAAGGAGTGAGTGCGCCTGCGCTCTCTCCATATGATAAAAGCAGACAGAAATAATAATTACATTAATTTTAATTAAAGGTAGTCTTGACTTAATTTTTTTAGGCAACCATTTACATAATCAAGATTGCTAAAAAGGTATTTCACTCGGTAAACAGATGGGTGAAGGTTGACCTATGTTCTTTGTCCAAAATTTAACAAATAACAATCCATTTCTGGTCCATTTGTTCCAATTAACCTTATGTGAAGTGTGAGTATGAAGATGTGTTTCACTTCTATAGTGAACAGGTTTGAATTATTTGTGGCTTGTTACGAGTTGTTATTCAAAGCAGAGATTTTTTGTGATAGTGAAACAATTACACAAAGATACATTATTTCAATTGATGATGTGTGCCTATCCATCATTAAGAAACCAAGCATTTAGAGCCTCTCATTCGCTAACAAGCACGTCTCACGAATCGTTAGCAGAAACAGCAGCCTAGCGACTTACCAGGGTTGTCATTAGCAAATACCGAAGGAGTACGACTACGCTGCCTTGTTTGACGTCTACGTCTACGATTGCTCCGGCTACCTGTCGAAGACATAGCTTCTGCACTGGACACGGAGTCTAAGACAAGCATCAGACATTCTTACATGCTTTTACAACAGTCAGACGCATACATCTAATTTTCCTTAAATATATATGTATACACACCTTTTATTAGAAAAAACATTGTTACAAGTAGGGAAACTTACATAACTACGAACATTGTTCACTTACCGCGATCTACACTAGAAACTTCTTGACTATCCAACACTGTATCTTCTTCATCGGTAGTTCTACGCCTATCGTCCTTACGATTATCACGTCTAAGTCCCGGTCTTTGATGACCTCTTGGAGGACCAAACTGTCGGGGAGGCAAATCTCTTATGCGTTCATCGCTAGTGTCAGGTGTTTGATGACGTGAACCTAAATACATTAAACGTTATACTTGACCGTCAAGTAAGTCTTTAATGCAGCAAAGGCTCAGTAGTGTGTATAAAAGAAAGAAGTAGGTAACTCGACTTTGTACGTAAAATTAAGGTAGGAGAGTAGAGCAAAATGAAAGCACAGACTCCAAAACCTCAAAGCAAACATGCAACATGCAAAAACAGTTCAAAAAACACTTATGGTAATAACAGAGCCATTTTGCTGAAAGGATACGAGTCTGTGCTCCATGTCAAATGAAACACATTTTTTTATAATAATTATATTTCTAAAAAAGTCTTTCACAATAAGATTTGACATGAGTATGAGCCAGTCTTGAGTTCTATGGCAGTTATAGGTGCTTCTAGAGCACGTTAGCAAACTCACAATAAGCTCCTTCTTTGACCATCCCAATGTGATGGTCAAAAGAATTTACATATGAGATGCATACTCACAACATGGCTTCGCTAATGAAAAAGAGCTTGACCTGAGTACCCTTTCAGCAAAGGTATTTTCTTTTATTACTTCAAGATCAGTATTGAGCCTCATGGGGTTTACTAACTTCAATTCCCATTGACAAATAATTTATAAAAAGCTAGTTTGTGAATTTTCTTATATACAAGCTTTAGCGGAAGATATAAATATTTGTCAATTGGGTTATCTATTTTAAAGACAAATAAATATGTCCATAGTTCCTATTTGGAGGGTGCAGCTGTCGAGTAATATAGTAAAAAAAATCCTTGTCCGCGAATTACTGTTTCAATTGGTAATGTAGACAAATAGATTGATTTTTGCTTTTAAAATAAACTTGTCATCATTCCAAAAATTGTTTACATAAAATACATTCAAACTGCACCTACCGTTACAGTAAACATCGTCGTGAGTATATATATAATGTCCACATCGTAGAGACAAGGGCTCTTATATACGTATATAT